ATCAGTGTTTTCTCTTTTCTCGTTTATTCAGGATATATGACTCGAATCCTGAACAACCAAATATATTCCAGGTGGAGCAGCTGGAACGTCTCAAGAAAGAGTTACCAGAGCTGAAAAGCTGTGTGTGTCCCACAGTCAGCCACTTTAAATCCATATCTCCCTGTAAATGTCATCATAGTTGCCTGGAAGAGAAAGCTGTAGATAACTTGAAGAGTGTTCAAATGCAAAAGGACTGATTCTAGGCAGGATGCTGGTTTGTATCTGTTTAACTGTCACCGTTGGAACAGTGCTGTCTATGCCTTCAGGTTTGGTTGGTTTGGTTTGAAGTCCCCAAATAGCAATAACTGTGTTCCTCCTTTCTGACAGGACTCATTAAAATGTCAGACAACATTAAGATATTGAGCCAGCTGTAGCTATTATTCCAGTTTACATATACAGTTTTAACTTTCTCCTATAATCAAGTCCCAAATCTTGAAAAAGAAAATTAACACTAAGCGTGTGTTTTAAAAATAATTAAAAAAAAAAAAAAGGCAGTCTGAGGAGTGGAAGTTCAGAAACTAAATTGTAGGGAAATTACAATGATCTGATATGCTGAAAAATTTTGGCTTTGATTTTACTTTGTCAGCCTGTATCTGGCAACAGGAAACTAAGAGTGATTGTAAGATACATATAATTACATCTGGCCTGAATAAATTGGTACCTCACATATATGTATTTGCACTGATAGATCCACCTGTACAAAGCTTTGTGCCATTAGAAAATACCTATATATTTTTAAGTAATCTGCAATGCATATTAATCCATTTTTCCCACTTCACTGGGCCATTATTTCCTGACTTGCCAATCCATCGGTACAGTGTCTGTGTACAGCAATCAAGGGTGAACCACAAGTATAACTTTCTTTTCCTTCATTATCTCGTACAGGCCTGCTAAACTTTAGAAACGTTGCAAACAATTTGAACAGAGGTACAGAAACATCGTCAGTGGTTGGGAAACTTTTTTGCACAGTAACCTTAAACAAACATGTGACATGCACAACCTCTACAAAATGCATGCTTTAGTTATTAAGCATGAAATTTTAGGTGTTTGCTGAGGTCCTTGCATCCTTACGGTGCTAGTTATGTGTGACAGGTGCAAGGACTAACTCAACTACTTAGTCCTCTTTGCCTAAAACCACAAGCCTATTTTTGAAGAAAAGGCTAGACCATACGTGGTTTGTCTTATTTACATCATACAAGCTACTGGCTTTTGTATTTTGCAGGATTTTTTTTTTTTTCCTCAAGAGCAAGAATCAGAAATGTACTGAATTCAGCTTAGGGGTGTTCTGTTGGCTGGTATCTACCCTCTGTAATTTATTACAAAGTCATAGTTTAGAGTTCTTAGTAGATAGGTATGCATGTTCTTTTTCCTCCTGAAGTTGCAGGTCATGCCAACACAACGGCTGTAACTTTCTACTGAAGTGTTAATGTATAATAAGAATGGGAAATATTTATTTTTTTTCTCTTGTAAATTGACAATGAAAACAATAGCGTGTACTATATTCTTTATATACAGTCATTGCTACATAGACCCGATTGTACAAAGAGTTAAAGCCATTGCAAATAAGTGCTTGAGCCTGCACCGCTGAGCAGTTTGGAACAAACAGCTTGTTTCAACTTGCCTTGTGCATTTTAGTATTTAAAGTTTGTTTGTCCTGCACAAACAGCACAGTAATGATTAGGTATCTGGAAACCGTCTTTTATTTAAGAAAAAAAAAAAAATTAAACCAAAATTTGAAAGTGTGTGTGTGAACTGTGTTTTTGGGAGGGAGGGAGCACTGAACCTTATTATTGACATCAGGAGTCTGTGGCTGTTATCTGACACGGCAAGTCTGCATTCCTCGCCTCTGCCATTAATTCTTAATTTAATTTTTTTTCTTCATTTGTGTACTTGGTGGGGTTCTTTTGATAGGTCTTGAGGGCTTTGCCACCTGATGTGCAACCCCCACCAGAGTTACACGTCGCTGCTCCTGAGCAGTGGGTTCACAGGGACGTTGAACACGGCAGCGATTTTGTGTGCAGGTGGTTTAAAAGAAGCGTTCCCTCGGATGAGTCACGGTGTGATGCTGAGAAGGGCTTGGCACCCTTAAAAATTTGTTTCCCAACCCTCAGATACTCAGAGAATAGCATTTGTGTATTCTGTTTTTCTGGGGTGGGGTGTGGAAATAAATATGCCTGCTGTGGTGATGACTTCACAAGATGTTTTTTAGCAGCATTACAATTTTTATGTATTGTTGCCCTCTCCTATTTATGAGCAGGTAAGTAGTAACCTGAGCAGGCTTTTAACAATCTCTGCTTCGAGCTGAGCTGGCAGCTCTGGCTGCTCTGCCACGGCCACCAGGGCTGTGTCCCCAGCAGGGACACAGGGAACCCAAGAGCAGGCTTGGGAGGGACTGGTGGGGGGAGTTATGTTCAACTAACACCCTACCTCTTGAGGGAACCTTTATTTTCCACTGAGTTTGATGGGTTTGGGTAGCTTTCTTCAGATAAAGACATAAAGCTCACAATTTAAATAACCTAAGTTGGTGGCTGCTTCGAGCAGGTGTTGTCCTTGACTACTTGCATTGCAGGTGGACTCCCGTTCTTCCTCAGTTGCTCATGCTGCAGGATGCTCTGCTGGTCCACGGGTGGCCTAGAGTCCATCTCCAGAGGAATAAAAATACCTGGCTGGCTGAGGGAATGGAATCGAGACAGTATTCTTAAGTCTGAGTCTGGCTGGTTTGGATCCTGCCACCTCTGACTTTTGAGGGCTTGTTGGAGACCAGTGTGGTCTGGAGCACAGATGGCTATCACAGGGGTTGGAAGGGCCTTTCGGAGATCACATAGTTTGGTAGGGTCACCCAGAGCAGGTTGGACAGGAGTGCATCCAGGTGTGTTTGAGTATCTCCAGGGAAGGAGACCCCACACCTTCTCTGGGCAACCTGTTCCAGGGCTCTGCCACCCTCCCAGGAAAGAAGTTTTTCCCCATGTTCAGATGGAATTTCCTGTGTTCCAGTTTGTGCCCATTGCCCCTTGTCCTGTCACTGGGCACCACTGTGAAGAGTCTGTCCCAATCCTCTTCACACCTGCCCAATAGCTATTGCTGAGCATTGATGAGGTCCCCTCTGTCTGCTCTGCTCCAGGCTGAACAGCCCCAGCTCTCTCACCCTTTCCTCAGCAGAGAGATGCTCCAGTCCCTCATCATCTTTGTATTCTCTGCTGTCCCCTCTCCAGCAGTTTCCTGTCCTTGAACCTGGAAGCCCAGAACTGGACCCAGTGCTCCAGATGGGGCCTCCCCAGGGCAGAGCAGAAGGGGAGGATGACCTCTCTCCATCTGCTGGCCACATTCTTTTTAATGCACCCCAGGAGACCATTGGCCTTCTTGGCCACAAGGGCACGTTGCTGGCTCCTGGGCAACCTGTTGCCCACCAGCTCTCCCAGGTCCCTCTCTGCAGAGCTTCTTTCCAGCAGATCAGCCCCCAACCTGTGCTGGTGCATGGTGTTATTCCTCCCCAGGTGCAGGACCCTACACTTGCCCTTGTTGAACTTCATAAGGTTCCTTTGTGCCCCGCTCTCCAGCCTGTCCAGGTCTCGCTGAATAGCAACTCAGCCTTCTGGTGTCAGCCCCCCCTTCCCAGTTTTCTGTTATCAGCAAGCTTGCTGAGGGTACACTGTCCCCTCATCCAGGTCCTTGATGACTATATTGGACAAGACTGGACCTGGTACTGACCCCCGGGCAACACCACTTGTTACAGACCTCCAACCAGCAACTCAGCCTTCTGGTGTCAGCCCCCCCTTCCCAGTTTTCTGTTATCAGCAAGCTTGCTGAGGGTACACTGTCCCCTCATCCAGGTCCTTGATGACTATATTGGACAAGACTGGACCTGGTACTGACCCCCGGGCAACACCACTTGTTACAGACCTCCAACCGGACTCTGCGCCACTGATCCCAACCCTCTGAGCTCTGCCACTCAGCCAGCTCTCCATCCACCTCACTGTTCTCTCATCTAACCTGCACTTCCCAAGCTGACCTATGAAGATGTTACGGGAGATTGTGTCAACTGCCTTGCTGAAGTCAAGTCCACTGCTCTCCCCTCATCCACCCAGCCAGTCATGCCATCATAGAAGGCTATTAGGTTGCTCAAGCATGGTTTCCCCTTAGTGAAGCCATGTTGACCACTCCCGATAACCTTCTTTTCCTCTACACGCTTAGAGATGACATCCAGGACAGGCTGTTCCATCATCTTTCCAGGGATGGAGGTGAGGCTGACCGGCTTCTAGTTTCCTGGAACTTATTCCTTGCCCTTTTTGGAGAGTGGTGGGATGCTGGCTTTCCTCCGGCCCTCAGGCACCTCTCCTGTTCTCCACGACTTTTCAAGTATGATGGGGAGCAGCTTCACAATACCATCTGCCAGTTCCCTCCATGCTTGCGGGTGCATCCCATCAGGGCCGATGGATCTGTGGCTGCTCCCATGGAGGCACAGCCACAGTTTTAATTAATCCAGAGGTGCCTCAGCCGTGGCGGGTGAGACACAACTTCACTTTTCCTGCTGTTGGAGGGTTTGCTTTTGGGCCCACCAGAAGCCCACCCTCCGGACTGACTCGGGAGACCTGTGTCACCTCACACTCTGGCTCTGTCCCCCGTAAGTGAGTGGGGAGAGGGGGGGGAGGAGAACCTCTCCCCGTACAACGGAGTAGTTTGGAGAAGAAAAGCTCCTTCAGCAGAGAAGGAGGCCTGTGCGGGGGAGCTGCTGGCGGGAACTCCTCTCGCCGCCGGCACCGACGGTCCCTCAGCTTCCCGCGGCGCTGACAATGGCATGGGGTGGCCGAGGGGTACCGGGAAGGCGAGCGAAAATCGGTCCCCCGGGTGTATAGAGACACCGGAGAGCAGCGGGGCGGGAGGGCCGGTCCCTGAGGGCGGGCTGAGGGCGGGCCAAGATGGCGGCGGGGGCCGGGCGGGGCGGTCCCTGAGGGCGGGCCAAGATGGCGGCGGGGGGCGGGCGGTACTTCTGCACGGCGGGCCGCGGCATGGAGCTCTTCTTGGCGCGGGAGGTGCGGGCGCGGCTCGGCGCCACGGAGGGGAGGGGGGAACGGAAGCCGGTACCCACTCGGGGCGGCCCGGCGCGGTCCGCATCGGCAGGGAACGTGGCCTAGTTGGCTTGGCGCCCCGGAGCCGCCTGCGTGAGGGGGAACCCGGCGGATCCGGTCTTGGAGGGACGGCTAGAGACCGTCTGCGGGCAGGGACATCTGCTGGCGCTGCCTTCCTCCTCGCCAAGGTGCTGCTGTCCCCCGTCAGGGCTCTTCACCCGGCGTTCAGAAACCAACCGACCCGCGGAGCTGAGGGATTTCACAGAGGCATGGGATGGTTCGGGTTGGAAGGGACCTTAAAGACCATCCGGTCCCACCCCCTGCCCTGGGCAGGGACACCTCCCACCAGACCAGGTTGCTCCAAGCCCCCTCCAACCTGACCTTGAACCCCTCCAGGGATGGGGCAGCCACAGCTTCTCTGGGAAACCTGGGCCAGGCTCTCACCACCCTCACACCAAAGAAGTTCTTCCCCACATCTCAGCTCTATCTCCCCTCTTTCAGGGTCAAACCCCAAACCCTTCCCCCTCCTGCTAGGGCTCCCCTTCCTGATCCAGAACATAAGAACACAAGTTCCACCTAAACATGAGGAGGAACTTCTTTCCTGTGAGGGTGGCAGAGCCCTGGAAGAGGCTGCCCAGGGAGGTGGTGGAGTATCCTTCTCTGGAAACATTCAAACCCCACCTGGACACGTTCTTGTGCAACCTGCTCTGGGTGGACCTACTCTGGCAGGGGGTTGGACTAGATGATCTCCAGAGGTCCCTTCCAACCAGCTCTCCTGGAGCCCCTTGAGGGACTGGAAGGGGCTCCAAGGTCTCCCCGGAGCCTTCTCTTCTCCAGGCTGAACCCCCCAACTCTCTCAGCCCCCCCTCCCAGCAGAGGGGCTCCAGCCCTCCCAGCATCTCCAGGGCCTCCTCTGGCCCCGCTCCAACAGCTCCATGTCTTTCTGCTGTTGGTGGCCCCAGAGCTGGAGGCAGCACTGGGGGGTGTCTCCCCAGAGCGGAGCAGAGGGGCAGAATCCCCCCCGGCCCTGCTGGCCACGCTGCTGGGGATGCAGCCATTTGTTTTATTCCAATTTTTTGGTGTTTTTTTTTCAGTTATTTGTTTTATTGCAGTTCTGTGCAGAAAAGGGTGGTATGTGATCACTCACTAAGCCAGCGCGCCTGTTAGGAAACACATAAGGTCTTTTGTACAAAAGGGAAGGAAAATCACATCAGAATAGCTGGTTGGTCACTGGTAGCTCCATAACAAAAACTCAGTTGTACATGTCCTGATTTCTGTCTGGCTTGTTATACTAAGGTGGTCTTACATTTACATATAAATCTCCTCCTAGAGGTATGATTTTTAGTATTAAAATTATGTAAGGTAAGTAGAGGCTATACTATCCTAGGCTTCATCCTATCAGTTGCTGCGGGGTCACTGTTTTACCTTCTGTTCTGTTGGGACTCCACTTGGAACAATGGCTCGCTTCAAGATTAGATTATTTATGTTTATGGCCTCTTTGTTTTGGAGACTTTCTATTCCTATTGCAATGGTTTCGAGTAAGCCATCACATCATGGCCACTCGATTAAGTGGATTTTTAACTCTTTTTGACATCAAAAGGGGCGAGTGGGTGTGGGGGGCTGTGGGGCTGCTGGAAGTGCTCACCCCAAACACCCTCCCGCTTCGCGTTGGGTCAGTTTCTGTTTCCCCCCCCCCCAAGGTGGACTACATCACAGGAAAGGTCTTCTTCAGCACAGACGCGGAGGCAGGCGAGCTGAGGAAACTCAAGTCTGGAGAGAGGCTCTTTTTGCTGCTGAAGAAAGGTGCTCCACTGGCAGTTTCTGGAAATAAAGGTGCGGCACTGGCTCCTTCCCGTGGGAGTCCCCTCTGGGATACTCACAGCTGGGCGTGCAGAGATGAAGCCCAGCTCTAGTCCTACATATAAAGTTAATACTTCATTTACTAACGGCTGTAGTTCTAATTGGCAATAATAAATTCTGAAGTCTCTTTCACCCAGATACATTTTCGATGCTTGCTTAGTGCTGCAAACGGATTTAAAAATGTTTTTAAATAGATGTTTTACCAGCCTGTGTTCTGCTGGCACTGTACATGTATGTGCATGTGTAATACCCTCCCTCCTTCCCTCCTCCATC